ATTTCATACACATGGTTAGTCAGGTTTTAGGTTGACAACAATGAACCAAGAAAAGAAAGGAGAAACCCAATGAGGTTGCATAGAAAAGACTGACGGAGAACAGCGTTCATGTAAAGAGCAAACCACAAAATCCTCAAAGGTTGGGTCTGTCATGGACATGCACCCAGGTCAGTCCTCTAGATGACACAAAATGGTAATGATTCTAGAACACTGCATACTGTTATGTATTAACACATATTCAGATTATGAAAAAAAATCATGAGTTGCTAATTCATTCACTCCAAAAATATTTCAGGGCCTTGCACTGTGCTAGATCCTGGGAATGCAGTGATGAACACCGTCCCAAGGCGTCATAACAGCTACGTGGTGATACCCATCTCCAAAATAATTTTTTTAAAGATTTTATTTATTCATTCATAGAGACACAGAGAGAGAAAGAGAGAGAGGCGAGACCCAGGCAGAGGGAGAAGCAGGGAGAAGCAGGCTCCCTGCAGGGAGCCCGACATGGGACTCGATCCCGGGTCTCCAGGATCACACCCCGGGCTGCAGGTGGTGCTAAACTGCTGAGCCACCCAAGCTGCCCTAATCTAACATTTTGACTACTTAGTGGCAAAAGCAACTGGGTAGTACTGGTGGAACCCATGGGGAAGAAATACATCGTAACTAAACCTAAGAGGATTTATCATTTAAATCTTTATCGGATTAGGAACATGGAATAATTATAAGCTATACTGGGCACTGGATTCTTTGCTGTTCACTTGAAAGAGCTAATATTTTACTTTTAAAATTGCTATCACTGCACGTACAGATCCCATAAAACGTACCAAGAGCTTAGAGCTGCTCGTCGAGAGTAACAGTCATAAAGTTCCGTACAGCAACATTTTCATGCTAAGAACAAAGAACGCAGCACAAGGACTTCCAAAGGAGTATAATGTACTTGTCCTGGCACGTAAAAGAACTTCTGTTTTCCAAACTCAATTCATGGTTTCTGTACAAGGAACACGCAAACACGTTAACAGTTTTCTTACCAAGACAGGGCCCAACATCTGTACAAACACGCAGGGGAAGCCGTCCTCGGTTGTAACGTGCACCTGGACGTGCAAGGGGACCTAGACGCCCCCCGGAGCGACACTGACAAGAGGTCACACTCAGCAAAGGCAAAAAGGGAAACAAAAAAATCCTGCTAGGCCCTTTATCTGCTTGACGAGGGATGGAGACAGTTGCCACAGTAACAGAAAGGGACACAAAAACCACACCTGGAACAGACAGACCGCCTGTCAGTGTTACGACCTGAGTTGACAAACAGGTTTAATCCACCTCCTCAAGGGTCATGCTGTCCCGGTGAAGGCCCCGCACCCTCTGCTCCCGAACGAGGCTGGCTGTCGTTCTGGGGAGGGGCCCCTTTGTCCGACCCGCCCGGGGCAGGGAGGTCGGCGGCAGCCCCCTCCGCGCCAGGGGACAGGGCGGCAGACAGCTCGCTCGACATGAGAACTTGCAACGACTCGGCTCCGTCTTCCACGTCCACCTGAACGCCCAGAGCCTTGAGGATGTCACATTTGCACATAGGACACGTCCCGTGGGCCAGGATCCAGGGGTCGATGCAGTCCTTGTGGAAAAAGTGCTTACACGTGAGAACACGAACCGTGTCGTCAGGCTTGTAGAGCTCGAAGCAAACCACGCAGCTGTCCCCGCTGGCGCCCAGCTCGGCGTCCCCCTCCTTGAGGACCCGGAGCTGCAGCTGCGCGAAGGCCTGCTTGAGGTGGGTGGTTAGCCGCTGCCGCCGCCGGCTCTCAATCCGGGCTACCCAGAGTCTCCAGATGTGGTAGAAGATGAAGTAGGCTAGCGTAGCCGTTGTGACGATCGCAAAAGACACGAAATAGTGATTCATCCAGATGATGTGCCTTCTCCCCACGTCAACGAGGACTGTGACGCGAACTCCCCTCTGGATCAGGTGCAGCATCTCCACGCCCTTCAGGTTCCCGATCATCAGCACCACGACGCCCTCAAACGCCTGGTGAGACATGGGGAACACCTGGCTGCCCGTTCCCGGGAAGTTGTAGATGATCACCCCGCTGGCCCCCCTCCCCACGGCGACCCTGATCTTCTGCGTGAAGGTGCAGCCGCCCCGCGCGATGAGCGCGAGCCACGGGCCCGCCGGCGGGCCGCCGAAGCTCGTGTTGGCCTGGCACGCGCTCTGCGCCCTCCCCTCCGGCGGCGCCAGGACCCCCGCCACCCTCTTCAAGGCCGAGCTCCTTCCGAACACCCCGGCCTCCCCCAGCTCCGACAGCAGGAGCGAGCCGACGCGAAAGGAGATGTTCACGTAGGCGGTCCACACGGCCCCGGCCGCGCAGCAGTTCTGGCCGAGAAGCCAAAGGACGCCGACTTCCATGAGCCAGGAGGCCGCGGCGCCGGCGGGCCGGGGGCCGACCCGGGGCAGACTCCTCGCCCCCTGCACGCGGCCCTCAGGCCGACCCGCGCGCCCGAGCCCTCCGCATCTGCTGGCCATCAGGTGAGGAGAGCGACAGGAGAGAAACCTTCCCGGTGAAAGCAGGCTCCTCCGCAGTCCTCCAGCATGTTTCTTGTCAGAAGTTCTTAAAGGTGTCCTAGGAGGCCCAGATGTTTTATTACAGAGAGGAGGAGAAACACCTAAGGTTGGGGGGGGAAATTTCCAGTCTCACTAATGTAGCTCCAGATCCTGTTTACAGGGGGGTCATGCGATTATGACCTAAAAGACAACACAGCCAATTAGAGGAGAGCTTTGAACTTGCCGGAAACTTCTTGGTCTGCACGCTCCAAATACTGTCATGGGAGAGGCCTATGTTGTAAGGTCAATTCAGGCCCTGAGCTACACGTTAATAGGTATCGTAGCAAACTAAAAATTAAGTATAAAATTCATATTACACATGTGCATACGAAACCTGAAAGCCTATGCAAGGTCATAGGTCTATCATTTTTCTGACCATAAATCAAAGGAACATTGAACAGAATGGCAAGTTTTAAATAGAAATCAGCACTATGAATAATTACGTGGTAAAAGCGGAGAACTCTGTAATACCCCTTACCTCACATTCGGTCCCAGTGCAAATTTATTTATCATGTAAACCACTGCACTATGTTCATTTAATAAATGCTTGCTCAGGTTTGTTGGTTCGGCTTGGTTTTGATTCTGATTTTTAAAAGGAGGATTTTCACTTCTAAATCCTGTAAGATGACTTGAGCTTCACTTCCTCACTCTCACAGGGACTATCCGTAGGGATGACAGTGGTAAAGGACGTTACTAATCTCTCTTCTCTGCAGACCTTGGCATTTGCTACTGATCTAATATTTTGAGGGAAGAAAGGAAGAGTACAAGGAAAAAACTACGTAGCAGTCTTAGTTTAACATAATGCATTTCGAACAAAAAGGCAGCTATTGATTTTAAAAAGAAAAACTTCAAGGTCCCCATTTAGAGTTAACCACCAACAGTTGTATTAAAAGGTCATAGATGCTTTGCACAAAACCTTTGCCAAAACCAACAAATGTCCCTGGTGGGTTCCCCCCCCCCCCCGCCCCATACCATCAGCGCTGCCTTTCCCAACGTGAAAGGAGATGTTCATGTAAGCAGTCCACACGGCACTGGCTCTGCAATAGTTCTAAGAAGCCAAAGAAAACTGAATTTCGTAAGCCAAGAAGACCCAGCATTGTTTCTGTTTCTGTTCTTGCTACACGTCCATCAACGGCACAAGATGACTCCAGACCAAAGCAACCTGTGAACTAACCAACACGGCCAGGCCCGGGTGCCGCCACACACTTTCTCGAGGGTATTCTCTAAGTGCTTCCTTCTTATCCACTCGCTAGGAAACCAAGAATTTTGACCTTGATCACAAAGGTCTGACCTTTACACACAAGATGCTCAGAGACCGTTTTGGTTGGGTCTCACCAGGACTAAGGGAGCTAGTTCTTCTCATGAAATGTGAATCAAAACAATCTGAGGCAGGCAAGGAGGAGAAAAGGATCCTACAGGCTCAACCAAAGTGGCACAAAAAGAAAATTTACCATGTAAACTTCAGCTCATCATGGTCAATTTTCTTTCCCAAGGGCCTTTAATCTGATTTTATTTCCATACAACCCATGAAGCGTGTAGTACACAGTGTATAGACTTACAAAGTGCCACCTAGGCTGGCTATCAATGGCTTAGCATTTCACCCACAAATACATCAGTCAAAATGAAAACTCAAATCTCTGAGCCTTACCGTTACACATGGGTGTCCACCTACTTCAACAGAGGCAAAATAAGGCAAAAGACACAGTTTGTAAAGGCAACTAAATGAAATGTCAGCTCTGCTCTAGATCTTTACCAAAATGCACATACACTTATCACCACTTTAAAAAAAACAAAAGCATTTACTAGGGTCACTTCTAGATGGGAAATTTGCTACCAGAGCCATTCAGTATGCTAGGATTTAAAGGGCTGTAGCTAACAAAAGTGATTTTTTTGATGATGCTCTCCTAAATGAGACCTATACTTATTTAAAATAGTTTTGTTACATAACCAGAGGTGCTATCATCTAAAGTTATTACTTAAAACATATTATCTACTCAGTACTTTTGGAAACCAGACTCCATATTAATTAACCATGGAAAATTAAATCAAGATCTAATTCTATAATGAAGCTTAACAACAGTATTAGATATCAAAAATAGGGAAATAAAATTGATGTTAAAAAAAACTGAAATATCATGACTCTTTGGCCACAAGGTCATAATCATTTTAATTTGAATACTAATTTACCTTTAACATATCATATACTAAGGTTCTTATCTGGATAAGGGCCAAAAACTAACTGTCTAATAGAAAAACAACAAGTTCAAATAGCTGGGCAAGATATGGAGTTTTATTTTAAAAACACACAAATTTCATCCTCTTTAGTACTTAGGTAAAGAAGATGAAGTTGAGCTTTCTCTCGGCATAAAGGGCTAAAAGAGAATTCATTTAATTTCAATCTTTGTTAAGACTCGGTTACATCCTCAGAAGATTCTCCGGGTTTAAGTTTTCAGAATGTCACACTTGCACATGGGGCATGTCCTATGGGCTAAGAGCCAGGGGTCAATGCATGCCTTATGGAACACATGTCTGCACGTTAAAATACGTACTACGTCTTGGGGTTTGTATATGTCAAAGCAAACAACACAACTGTCCTCATTTGGATCTAGTTCCTTGTCGCCTTCCTTGAGCACTCGCAGCTGAAGCTGACCAATAGCTTTCTTCACATCTGCTTTCATCTGTCTTCGCCTCCTGGTGGAAGAATTGGGCACTCGGGGTCTCCAGGCACAGTACAAGAAAAGGTAGGCCACGGTGGCAGCCAGGAAGGTGAACAGGGACATGACATAATGGCTCAGCCACGGCATGTGCATTCGCCCCACTTCAATGATGATGGTCACATAGACTCCTTTCTGAATCAAGTGCAGAAGTTCCATGCCTTTCAAGTTGCCTATCATCACTGCGACTATATTTTCCGTTCCCTGGTGAGACATGGGAAACACTTTGTTGCCCGTACCTGGGTAGTTATAGATGATCACCCCATTTGCTCCTTTCTCTGCTGCCACGTTGATTTTGTGTGTGAAAGTACAGCCTCCGCGTTCAATGAGGGCCAACCACGAGTGTGCCTGTTCCGGCCTGCTGAAGTTGGTCATGGGATTACAAGCATTCTGATTCCATCCTTCAGGAAGTACCACCGCACCAGACACCCTTTCCAAAGGAGAATGATTCCCGAACACTCCACTCTCTCCTAATTCCGATATAATCCGATTTCCCACCTGAAAGGTTATATTCAGGTGGGCTGTCCAAATGGATTTTCCTTTTGAGTCAGGAAGGCTAAGTAGTAGAAAGATGCTAAGCCTCAGCAGTTGAGATGAAACAGAACTAGGAGTAATTCGAAGTAGGCTCATTCCTCCATTTGCCTATTAACTGACAAACAAAAAACAAAACATCAACTGTAAAACAAAGACGCTAACTCCGGTTGTTGGCAGGAGATAATTAAAGCACATTTATGGAGAAAGGCCTGCCTCGGTCAAAGGTATGTTGCTCCTTCCAGCATTTTTATTTTGGGTAGACGGTCTTTCTTATAATGAGACAGAATAGCAAGAGTTGTTATTACTACAATGTGATTTCAAGAAAATTATGACTCCCTAATGGGGAAATTGTGACATCAGAGGTAGTTAAGCCAATCCAGTTGTTTATATTAGGGCACTGCATACTGAAATCCTATTGGCCAGAAAGCTACTAAGCAGAGACTCGTGGTTATACCAGAATCAACTCTAAAGCAATAAAGCAGTTCTTTCCCACCTCGGTGAAAAGTGAAAAGCTGCCTAACGCTACTTTATATTCACTATTTTTCTATCTGTTAAGTGAAGTAGAAATCATTTACGTATCAGTACGTGTGGGTGGCCAGTCACCAGTCCTCACGCATGGTTCTATGCTACCCCATATGCTAATCCATGGGCAGTGGGAACGAATCACTCCCACTCTCTCCCAACATTAAATGCTTATCCCAGATTCAACACGAGGACCATAAACGTGTTCTAAAACAGGTACGTTGGCAACGTGCAAGGCAAATTCAACTTTTCACTATAGAAGTTACTAAGAACCTACTATGTGCTAGGCAGACACTCAGCATGGTTCATACACTGGAGAAGAAAACACACACCTACTATGTGAAGCTTACAATCTACTGAGGCCAGATCTTAAACACACACACACAAATGCATAGCTATAGGCTGCAATAGCATGGCTCTGAAAGTACAAGGGTATCAGAGGAATGAATATAAAAGGAGCCAGACTTTGATTAGGGGGCCGAAGCACTGATTCTCTAAGGAAGTGTGGTGCTTAGTCTAAGACTTGAAAGATGAATCAGAATTGCCCAAGAAAAGAATAATATTTCAGGCAGAGGAAATGGCAGCTTCCAGATGCGAACACAGGAAAGAACGTAGCAAGTGAGAAGATGTGAATGTGTGTTTGACAAAACAAGAGAGTAGGAAAGGTGATGAGGGAGAAAGCAAACAGCAGTCAGTGTTCAGGACCAAGGATTGGGGGCTAGGTCCCAGGGACGAGAGAAACGCTGGAGGGTTCCAAGCTGGGGAGGCAACTTATAATACGCATTTTACAATGTTGACTTGTTAACGAGTACACTTTGGTGCCCTAAGTGGGAAGTGGGTCGGAGGAGGAGGAGAGCAGAGCGGTGAGATGAGCCTAAGTAGACAGCGGCTTGGAAACCCTGAAAGAGCAGAGACGCACACAAGTCCGCAAGTTACTTCAAAGGTTGAACTAACAGTGGTGGTAACTGGAAAGGTTGTAGTGGGTACAGGAAAGGATGACCACAGCCGTCACCAGTTGCTACATTATTGTTGCAAACCATGCCATCTTTACTGTTTTAAAGATCCTTTAATGCTGATTTGCTTCTATTTAATAAAAATTTTTTATTTAAATTCAATTTGCCAACATATAGTATAACACCCAGTGCTCATCCCAAGTGGCCCCCCCTCAGTGCCTGTCACCCAGTCACCCCATGCCCCTGCCCACCTCCCCTTCCACAACCCTTTGTGTGTTTCCCAGAGTTAGGAGTCTCTCATGGTTTGTCTCCCTCTCTGATTTTTCGCACTCAGTTCCCCTCCTTTCCCCTATAATCCCTTTCACTATTTCTTATATTCTCCGTATGAGTGACACCATATGATGATTGTTGATTTGCTTCTATTTTAAATATTCACCTGAAGTCTGTTTCAAGGCTTCAATAACTTGGCAACACTCAAACATTTATTATATGCTTTATATGGGATATACTCTATGTCCCGGGCATGCTAGAACACCCCGAGGATACAAAAAAAAAAAAAAAAGGCAAGACAAAAAGGAATCAGAGGCATGTAGAGATAATTTTTTCATTTTGACAAAAGCATTTAATTGTACTCCCCTGCCCTTATTATTTAATATTCATTCTTAAAAATAAATTCGGAAACAAATTTGCATCATTCATACCATTTTCTTCAAGTGTCATTCAGTTCACAGCTGAACGGTTGTAAAGACATCGAAAATGCAGACTTTCCCCAGTTGCAGACCGAGTGAATTCCTGGCCTATTCCATTCACAGTGATGAAGCGAAGCCTTACTAAGAAGACTGTTTACATCATCACATTAGAGGCTGTTCAATCTGTGATTATTAACATTTGGAGGCAGGATTTTAAGAACTAATTCTGCAAGTCATGGGAGTACGTGGTGCAGCATAAGGAGTACAGGCAATGGTATCGTAAGAGCCTCAGGCGGTGACCGATGCTAACTACACGTGTGAGCAAAGCATCCAGGATAAGCCTGTCCAAACGTTACGTGTACACCCGAAAGTAACGTGACACCGTGTGTTCGTCACACTTGAAAAACACAACTGAAACAGATTTTAAAACACTGGGATTACCTTCTTCAAATGAGTTTATTAAAAAATCACAAAGTTGTGGAGATGTACACAGCATGGTGACTACAGTAAATTAATAAAGTATACTCAAGATTTACCAAGAAAGTAGACCTCAAGTGTCCTCGTCTCTCTCTCTCTCACACACACACAGATGATAACCATGCGAGGGGATGGTGATCTGGCTTCGTTGCTATGATTTCAAGACAAATACATGTATCAAAACATCACATTGTATACCTTGAATTTACACAATTTTCAATTATGCCTCAGTAAAGCTGGTAAAAATAATTCTTTTAGTTTGCTAATTTTTAAGGGCAAAGAGTTTATATGGTAACTATATTTTGCCTTAAAACACATCTCAAAGCTCAAAGTTCTTTGTATGTCTGAAAAGACAGATTTGAAAAGTTCACTACCTCATTGTGTTTTTCTCACCGTAAGGTGAAGTAGTTAAGGCAGTGACTATAAAGACAGATTCAACCGCAAAAAACGATCCTTTGCTTCCAACACAGCGGTTTCCAAACAGGGAACAACACCCTTCCTTTCCAAAGGGATACTTGGGCTATTTCTGGAGACATTTTTGATCATCACAATGGGAGTGTGCTACTGGTATCTACTGGGTAGAGGCCAGGGATACCTTTAAACATCCCATATCATGTGCATGACAGACCTGTGAATTAATTAGCTGGTCCCAAAATGTCAACAGTAAGGCTAAGAAACTAATGGAACAGGCCTGGGAGGAAGAAACTACCCCAAAAGTAATTTCTCCATGATAAACAATCCTATCTAAGCTCGTATCATGGAGTAAGTTTTCATAATTGACAAAAAAAAAAATCTATCCAGAACGATGCCCTCACCCCATCTCCATTTCCCATCTTCCTTGGAATAGAAACAGTGGAGACCTGCACAAGAACCTATTAGTCCGTGTAGCCTGATTACAAACTGCATCCATTTCATCAGGACCAGATCCCGAGTCTTTTCTCCTGGGTCCAGGAGAGCTGACGAGAAAACAAGGGGGAGGGTGCATGGGCTGGGTGACTGGAGCTATTCTAACCTGCTCCTTTCAGACCATGTATTCAATACGCAGACTTCTTTTTAAGAGCCGAGAATTAAAGTTTTCACTCTGCCCTCTGCAGGAGGACTGAGGGGAACTGAAATAGACCCTGTGGTTGGTTGGTCCAGTGGTTCAAAAGCCCCCACTCCTTCCATCTTGCCCTTCTGCCTCCGTACGCTGGTCTTCCCCTTACTCAGGCTCACATCACATCACGATCCTCCCCGGGGGCGGACACTCCACCTGGCAGCAGGCAGCCTGACGGCCCACATCCAGATGCACAGACTTGTCTGCTACTGTGTGTCTACAGAGGAACAAGGTTTAACAGAAACCTACCTAACGTGCCTTGATGTCACTCTGGCTAGCAGAGCTTCACAAGGGTGCCTAACGGAACCCCCAGGAATCAGAGTAGGATCATGATGATAAGGGTTAGGTTAACCTTAGCTATGATCTGCTGAGGAGAGCCCGTCCCCCGGCAGAGCACGGGGAGAGAGGGGCTGTAAAGGGAGCCGGTGCTCTGCCACCGAGAGGGAGGTGTAGCCCGGAACGTGCGTAGGTAAACAGAGCAGCTGCAAGGCTCTAAATTCCCGAGTTTTACTTAAATAACCATTAGCCACAACAACCGTGTAGTACACACCGTATGCTCCGTACTGATGGGAGCCACAGCCTGCGTTACAAGGACCACAACGCAGCTCCCATGCGACGGAGGGCGTCACCCAGGCAGGAGAAAGGGGTCATACACAGATTAGCAATGTGCGCGTATACATCTTAACTTCCAGGTTCCAACTAACATTTCAAGAAAGGTTCTAATTTTCATTAAGTTGGGGGTGTGTAAAGCAGGTGATCTCTGTCCCTCTGCTGTTGGTCAACCTCTGTTCGGAATCCTCAAACTTCCAGGAATCTCTCCTCTGATGAGCAAAACAGTCCAATATATGCACACAGCATTGCCAAGGTACTAGCTCTAAGATACCGGGAATACTGGAGAAACTTCAATAAATTTCACAAGTCGTAGTATCCGGGAACCCACCAAACACACTGGATTTAAATTTAATAAGTTTGAAAACTATGTAGGTTTTCTGCGAGTAATTAAATGCATCATATTGGGAACTGGCAGGAATAGAATACGGACTCAAAGTAGTTCACGGAGAACCACCAAAAAGCAAATAATGCTGATATTTTCTGAAAGCAGTTATCTTGTAAAACTAAATCTTAGCTTAAAATTTTATGTTTGACTGTAAGCTCGAAAGTTCTCATAAACAATGGATTTTCTCAATTTCTCCCATAAGTTTATTACTACTTGCACATATTCTCAGATATATGCAATAAAACATTCTTTAACATAACAATGGACTTTCTCCTCTCAATATTTCTGAACCCAGAAGAAAATTCTGAATATGGTAAAGTGAAATACAGTAGAGTTTTAAAATAACATGAGCTTCTGAATTACCATGAA